AGTTCTGGATGTGTTGCCTACAAAAATGGCCTAACTTTACTCAAGTTGCTTCTAGGCTAACATAAGCTAAAAGAATGGGGGTCCTTGGGCTATTTCAAAACCCAAGTAAATCATCATTACCAATACTTTATTAGTACCACACTTTAATAATCTAGAACCAAAGCCATGTTAATATGGATAATTTTTATATCTTTCATTCTTTCTTTTAAAAGAGTTCACATATAATACTGCCATTAAATGATAAGGCAGAGAACTAAAAACCATAGCCAATGAAGAAACAATTATGGCAAAAAAAACAATAAAAACTGTTACAGTAAGTTGCAGAATTAAATTTTGGAACTACACTTCATACCAAGCCAATAAAAATTAGAAAAAGTCGTTAAGTTACATAATGTGGTCCTGCTTTCATGGTGTAAGGGAAAAAAGGCAAATCTAGTTTTACTGGAAGAGATCATTGAATTCTATTTAACTTAGCTGTGATACCTGTTCAGTAATGTGGAATAGGGGGATCCCTTTATACAGTAATTTCAGGTACACTATTAATAATACTATTGAAGAGATGATCTTAACAAAACAAATTTACACAAATGAAAACATTAATTTGTGCTTAAATGTTTTGTTGTAGATCCATTCTCCTTTCAATAGTACTTAAAATAGCTGCTACCTGAAAATTACTGTTTATAACGGGGACCCCCTATCTCAACCATTACTTGAATGACAGTAGCAACCAGTACATTTAAACTAGAATCAATGATCTCCCTTCCGTAAAAACTAGCATTGCTTTTTTCCGGTTAACATGAAAGAGTGGACAATTATTGCTAACTTAACGATCTTTTCTATTTTTATTGGTTGGTATAAAAGTTAGTTCCAATTTAGATTCTGGACATTTACTTGTACACAGTTTTTATTGTTTTTTTTCCGCATATTTGTTTCTTCATTGCATGGTTTTAGTTTTCTGCTTTCATTTTAATGGCAGTATTATATGTGTATCTTTTAAAAGAAAGAAATGAAGATATAAAAATTATCCATATTAACATGCTTTGGTTCTAGATTATTAAAGTGTGTACTAGTAAAGTTATTGGTAATGATGATTTACTTGGGTTTTAATATGCCAGGACCCCCATTACTTTACTTATGTTATGACCTAGAGCACTTTAGTAAAGTTAGCCATTTTTGTAGCATCATCCAGAACTTTCATTTAATCTCCAAGTTCTTTTTATACCAGGATTTCTCTGTGAAGAAGGCATCATTATTGATATTAGCATGTCTTTTTTTTTGGAGACAGAATCTCTGTTGCTCAGGCTAGAGTGCTGTGGTGTCATCTTAGCTCACAGCAACCTCAAACTCCTGGGGCTTAAGTGATCCTCCTGCCTCAGCCTCCCAAGTAGCTGGGACACAGGTGCTCGCCACTATACTCAGCTAATTTTTAAAAGTTTTAATAGAGATGAGGTCTTGCTCTTGTTCAAGCTGGTCTCAAACTCCTGACCTCAAGCAATCTTCCTGCCTTAGCCTCCCAGAGTGCTAAGATTACAGGTGTGAGCCACTGCACCCAGTCTTAGCAAGTATTTTTTAACAAGAGAGATTAGCCTCTCATAGGATCCACCATTGATGGGACACGATCAGTAAAAATGCCAACCCAGTTCCTTCAAGATGCATCTTTTGTTTAGGAGAATAAAGCATTAAATATATTTTGACCTTTGCTAACTGTTTAGGTCAGCAGAAAAATTTCTCTTGAGCAGAAAATTTTTTCTGAATTTCATTATCATTTAGAAATCTGACATGGCATTAGTGAAATCTATTAACTCATCAGGTAGAGACTTATTTTTCAGCTTATGACACAAACTCTTCAATATCATTGACATGTCATCAATGCTTCGACATACTGTACTGTTTTAAAATGGAACCTTTTCGTTTCTCAGACTGCATCTTATCCTAGAATTTTACTTACTGTAATTTTACATGTTGGCATTATTAGGTTCTCACCAATTGTGTGACTTTTTTTTTCTGGGTAATAAGTTGTACTCTGCAATAGCTTACTTTCTGAGCCTTTTCACTGAATGTGAATTTGTCTTAACAAATGCTTAGCTATTTGAAGTGATAAGCCACCTTAATGTGTCAGATGGCTGTGATTTGTATTAAAGTGCTTTTTCCATTTTGCTGGAGCTATTGCTACATTTGTAGATTGCCATGTGTGACACAAAATTGAACAGTGCAACTTGGATTACTAGCCCAAGTAAAACCCACTGATAAGTACCTTTCACTGTAAAGATGGACTTTTCTGTGTCCCTTGTTACACATGTGCAGTGAAATTACTCAGATGATAATAATTCTTCAGAATTCTCTATAGGCCTAGGTCTAGAATCATTTTCTTATTCCACACCTTAACTACATAATTTGCCATATTGTTTGACATGTTTGTAAAACACAAACACTAATAAAATATAAAACAGAAGGGACTAGTAATTAATTGAAACAATTGCAAAAAGTACCAAATTTGAAAAACCTCACAACAAAATTTACTTAAAATCTATACAGTCCGTATTTTGCAACATTTACAACAGCACCAAGGCAGTTGAGCTTGAGGACAGATGAGTCTTATGATATTATCTTATAATAATAACTGAGGGGAACGTAGGCTTATCTGTCATTGGTACTAGTACCAGTTTGGCCCTACAGTGTCCACTGTCTACAAAACAGTAGCCAAAAAAATGATGTTTCCATTTAATTACAATTACTCTAGTGAATCATCAAGAAAAAGAAAATAACTATATTACTATACCAAATCGAGGCAAGGAAATTTGTTAGTATAATTCATAGAATTTTCATTTGGAAAAATACAAAGGTTTAGAACCTGAATGATATTAACCTTTTCTCTACTTGTGTTGCTATTATTGTAATAGCCGAAAATTCAGCAATGAGGAATCAGTACAAAAAAATGCTATGCTAGAATAGCTACTGTAACTAAGGTGTGTTATCTATCACATGTCATCACATAAGATACAGATACCAGCACATGATTTGCTGCCTCCATTCTCAATTTCTTGTTCTGGTACATCTTGCATTTAACTTTGTGGATCTGTTCCCTATCTTTTTTCTTTTTTTTTGAGACAGGTTTTACTGTATTGCCCAGTAATATGTGTTGTCCCAGGGCGGACACAAACTCCTGGGCTCAAGCGATCTTCCTGCCTCAGTCCCTTGAGTAGCTGAAACTACAGATGCATGCTACTGCACTGGGCTTCCTTTTTTGACTCTTGACCTTTTCTATTTTTTTTTTTTTTTTTGAGACAGAGTCTCACTTTGTTGCTCAGGCTAGAGTGAGTGCCATGGCGTCAGCCTGGCTCACAGCAACCTCAATCTCCGGGGCTCAGCGATCCTACTGCCTCAGCCTCCCGAGTAGCTGGGACTACAGGCATGGCCACCATGCCCGGCTAATTTTTGTATAATATTTTTAGTTGGTCATAATTTATTTCTATTTTTGGTAGAGACGGGGTCTCGCTCAGGCTGGTTTGAACTCCTGACCTTGAGCAATCCGCCCGCCTCGGCCTCCCAAAGTGCTAGGATTACAGGCATGAGCCACCACGCCCGGCCCGACCTTTTCTATTGAATGACATTTTCTCACAATTTAAAATTGAAGACTGATTTTTTTTTCATCTTTGGTTTACTCACCAAACACTAATTGTATTCTCCCTTTAGCTGTTTTGCTATGCATGATGGGTAAACACTTTACCTGATTAGACTTGGCCCAGAAAGTCTTTTGTCTTGTTTAAGACTCTTGGGGCTTTCCTTGCAAATTTTACTCCAGCCAGGGTTTGCCTTCTGTACCAATGGGACCAAGCAATGTAGTTTTGCTGTTTTTATAGACATCACTTTTGTCATTACCATTTTCTTAAAGGTTAGGCATTGACCTTAGGGTCATTTTATGTGGCTGCCTCTATGCATAAATAATTATTGAATCAAAGAAAGAAATAGCCTTCTTGCAACTGATGCTGTTTTCCTCAAGAAAATCATATTGCTGTTGCTTTGTCTACCTGGTCATAATTCTGAGTAACTCAAGTAGTGTATATTGGATACACCTCCTTTATGCTTCAATATTCTTCTTTTTTTATTTTTTTTTTTTATTTGAGACAGAGTCTCGCTTTGTTGCCTAGGCTAGAGTGAGTGCCGTAGCATCAGCCTAGCTCACAGCAACCTCAAACTCCTGGGCTCAAGCGATCCTTCTGTCTCACCTCCCAAGTAGCTGGGACCTACAGCAGAGCCACCATGCCCGGCTATTTTTTCTATATATATTAGTTGCCAATTAGTTTCTTCTATTTATAGTAGAAACGGGTCTCGCTCTTGCTCAGGCTGGTTTCGAATCCTGACCTCCGAGCAATCCCGCCGTCGGCTCCCAGAGAGCTAGATTAGGCCGTAGCTACCACCAGCCCAATATTCTTCTTTATTTGTATTAGTGTTTTGGTTGAGTTGTAAATAAGGACTGTTCCTCCTGATTCCGGTAATTGATACTAGAGCATTTTATAGGTGTTCAAAAAAATTTTTATAGAAGTAATCCAAAGATCATAAATTTATGTATATGTATGTTATACAAATTTTATATAGTTATCTGTGGTAAAATATAGAGTATATTTATCAAGAAACAGGCTGTATTTAGCCTCTGGATATGGAAGGATTTTTAACATGAAACCAAAGGCAGGAGCCATTGATGAAAAATGTTAAAATATTTTTATTACTTTAATATGAAACAAAATCTGATGGGTAAAATGCTATAAACAGAATTTAATGTCAATGTTTGTTATATGTATGGTAGAATATGAAAATGTTCACATATAAGAGCACTTACAAATCAGTAAGATTTAGACAAAAAATGGGCAAAGATCATGAACAAAGAATTAATGAAAGAAGGAATGCAATGACCAGTAAACATAAGAAAAAGTTACCAATCTTGCTTATATAATCAGAGTTGCAAGATAGAACGAGACAACAATTTTTACCTTTTAAACTGGTAAGAATTAGAAAAACAGGATAATGCCTAGATTGGTTAATAATCAGGGAAATGGACAGCTTCATATTTTGTAGGTTTGGTGAAAAATCTATATAACCTTTATCAACATGTATAACTTTATATGTAGAAGACAATTGGTGACTGCATTAAAAACTTAAAAAACGACCTTTTACTCAGAAACTCTTCTTTTAAGAATTTATCCTAAAGATAGAACAGGACAAATGTAAGCGCCAATAATGAGGGATTGATTAAGATATGGGATATAGCAACCAAGTAGAATGGTAGTTAGCCATTAAAAAATGAAGTAATATAGTAATGACATGGAAAAATATTCATAATAAAAGCAAAAATTTTGGATATAAGTATCAGGTATGTCTTGCTCTGGGAATTAGCCTTTTCTTTTTTCTTTTTTTTTTTTGGAGACAGAGTCTCGCTTTGTTGTCCAGGCTAGAGTGAGTGCCGTGACATCAGCCCAGCTCACAGCAACCTCAAACTCCTGGGCTCAAGCAATCCTTTTGCCTCAGCCTCCCGAGTGGCTGGGACTACAGGCATGCGCCACCATGCCCGGCTAATTTTTTCTATATATATTAGTTGGCCAATTAATTTCTTTCTATTTATGGTAGAGACGGGGTCTCGCTCTTGCTCAGGTTGGTTTCGAACTCCTGACCTCAAATTAGTTCCTTTTCTATTTACCCAGTATGGCCTCATAAAATTGTTCTCAGGGGATGATACCACACTGTAAGACTAGGTAATTGATAAAATTACCTCAGAAGAAGTCCTTTTGATAACACTGTAACCAGATTCTCTTATATCAGAGGAAAGCTAATCAGCCTTACACCTAATTCTACCCACTATAGGGCTCTAGTATAAATCTCTTTTCACCACAAATAAATGACTATTTGCAAGGCCAAAAATACTATATACTTCTCACCAACTACCCATAGCACAATATTAATTTCTTAGTTAGCCCAAAACTTACCTAACCAAAAGAATAACCCAATAAAATAGCCCGCCTCAGCCTCCCAGAGTGGAAATTAGCCTTTTGAACATCTTCAGTTATTCAACCATAAAAGCCAGCAATCTTTTTGTTACCCTCATTAATCATAACATCAGATTTACATAATGCTTTATTTTAGCAGAATTTGGACACAATTTAAAATGTGTATGTTTAATACAATATAATGTGATTGATAGTTGTGAATAATGCCTGACATACCACCTTTTTTACATAATCTTTTCACTATATTTGATATTCTAGCTCTTTTCAAGTGCACTTGATATTCAAGATTAGCATTGTTCAGGGGAACTTTCTGCAACGATAGAAATGTCTTATAATTTGTGCTGTCTGTTAGAGAACTACTGTCTACATGTGGCTATTGAGTAATTGAAATATGGCTAGTGCAATTGAAATAGATTTTTATTTAATTTTAATTTAAAATCACATGTGTAGCTAGTGGCAATCATATTGTACACTGAGGATTATTGTCTTAATTTATAAATTTCATTAATGAAGTATTATTAGGAGACATTGAAGATAGCAACAATCTTGTTCCAAGATCCAAGGTCTATTTTCTGAGGATTGGCTGCACAACTATAGCTTTTTTGTCTTTGGATAATTGTGATTCTGAAATGGTTTTTCCTAGAAGTTAAAAATGTGATTAAAGCAATGATACGTTTTTATGAGCTGTATAGTGCACAGATAAATACATAAATGTTACAGTTGAACATTCTAGGCAAAATCCTTTACTACTTATAGCAGTCAACCTTTTGTTACTTTTTGTTTATCATTTTACTTGTTATTTTTGCCCATGATTCATATGCTACTAGTATGATAAACATTGCCTCACCAAAAGTCCTGACTTAAGCATTATATTAATACAAAGTATCCATGTAACAAAAACACTTGTTAACCCTCTTAATATTTTGAAAAAGAAAAACTGCCAGAAAGTAGACCCGTTGCATAAGTACTATAAAAACTTTTAAGGGCAGAGACTTCCCTCCAGAACAAGGAGAGGAAACGATCAATTTATTGAGTGCTTAGTAAGTGCTAGTCATTGTGCTAGGTGGTTTCTCACGTAGATTATCTCACTTAATTCTTCAGTTTTTCCTCACGTTATCACAGGTCTTATTTCTCTGTTGTTGGTGTAGGTGTCTCCTTTACTTTATTTCCTAATTTCTGCCTTTTTGTTTCTTATTTGTTTACCAGATTGCCTCTTGGTTTCTCTTATCCTTCTTTTTGGTATTATTTCTGACGTATCTTTTTGGTATTATTTCTGGCGTACCAGATTTTATACCAGCAACTTGCATTTGTATCCTCTATGGTATTTTGATAGCACATCTTTCTGTCAGTTGGCTTATGTCTTTTTTTAGGTAGAATCTTAATTAAGGGGCACATGTTGAGCTGCTTTGGTCATTGTCTAAGAGCTTTTTTTTTCGCCATCAGAGACGCTTAGTTAAAAAAAAACCCCAAACATTTTACAGTGAGTTGTTATTGCATTGGGTCAGTGTATGTTTGAGAAATTCAGATGTTTTTCTTTGGTTTTAATCAGTCTCTTGGTAAGTCTATAAGTAATATAATTTTATTCTATATCAAATATTTGCCTCCTAGAGAGTAGTAACTTTCCGTAAACAGAATATATACAGGCAACAGTGTTAGCTCTTATTCCAGGAAACATATTACTAACATATTTTATTTTGTTTAGTGTCAGAAATTTGGAGAGTATCACAAAGATGATCCAAGTTCCTTCAGATTTTCAGAAACTTTCTCCCTGTATCCACAGGTAAGTAGATAAAAGGTCCATACTGTTTTTCTTTCTTGTCAACAGCATTGGGTCTAATTTTTCCTGTTGTCTTTTATTACTTATCTTAAAGAACCTATATTATTGGGTTATTCTTTTGGTTAGGTAAGTTTTGGGCTAACTAAGAAATTAATATTGTGCTATGGGTAGTTGGTGAGAAGTATATATTATTTTTGGCCTTGCAAATAGTCATTTATTTGTGGTGAAAAGAGATTTATACTAGAGCCCTATAGTGGGTAGAATTAGGTGTAAGGCTGATTAGCTTTCCTCTGATATAAGAGAATCTGGTTATAGTGGTATCAAAAGGACTTCTTCTGAGGTAATTTTATCAATTACCTAGTCTTACAGTGTGGTATCATCCCCTGAGAACAATTTTATGAGGCCATACTGGGTAAATAGAAAAGGAACTAATTTGATTTTTCAGAATATTTTTCACTTGGAGCAGTGGAATATATCCCTCTGTCTTTCTGTTGATTTGATAGATATATTTAAAAGTTTGTATGTTTAGAGTGCTATGTGCAAGGAAGATAAAGGTGACTGACGTGGATCCTGCTTACAAGGAGCTTTCTCAGTCTGAAGTATGAGACCTGAAATACACATGAATGGCACAGAACAGAAAGTGAGAAATGCTATGAGAAATATCTAAAATTTAAAGGAAGATTAAAGGAATCTTTCCAAATGGATAGTTTGATACATCTTTTAGAGGAGGTGGCATTTTAGCTTAGTTTGGAAGGATGATTAATATTGAGATAAGGCAATTCAGATTTTTGCCCATGAAAACTTTGTCTAAAGCTTGAGCTTTCTTTTCAGAGCTACTCTGTTTCTTTGAAGATCCTTTATTGATTTGTGATCTAGAAACTTCATGCTTATAGAGGGAGACTTCCCTAAACCTCTTGGTGAGGTTTTGGAGAACCCGGAAAAGGCAGGGTCTGCTTGTCTTAAGGCAGCCAAAATCCTTTCTGTTTTGGGAATTCTCAGGCCTCATTTTCATAGCAGAAACTGGTAGGAAAAGAAATGAGAGCATTAGTCTAAGTGTCTGACTAAATTCTTCACACTTACCTTTCTTTTTCTTTTTTTTGCTACTCCAAGCCTCTTTTCATTAAGCTTACAGATCTTCAGAGAAATCTAGTCATTTGTCTTTCCCCCTTTGCTGGAAATAGGAAGCACAGGACCCAGAAATACCGTTTTTGTTGGGCCTTCAAAGCCTGATGATCTTCTAAAAGGGGACATAGACTAAATTTAAGGAAAGTGTTTATCCCCTAAATATTTACCTAAAAATTTACCAGTTAGATATCCCTGTGAATAAACAGGGACTGAAATGACTGAAATGGTGAGGGATAAGAGAATCTGTCAATGAATTATGGATCACTGAAAAAAGAAAAGGAATGGGAATTTCAGTGAGTGGCCTGTATTGGGAGAGAACTGTGGAGTGAGTCCCAGGCAAGAGCACTATGTAGGCATATTGGGACTTGAGGGTTGAAGGAATTTAAGATAAGTGACAAAAGATAAATGGAAGTACTCTGAAGTAATCCTGTTGAATGTATCAAAGACCCAATGTAACTATGGTCTAACTCTCTCCCTTTTTGATCTCTTTAATGTGAGGAGTAGGTGAACAGGAAGAAAGTGAAAGGAGAAAGAAGTAGTAAAACAAAGTCTGGAGAATGTTTCTTAGGGATAGATAAAACTTTAAATATTAAGAGATTATGTGGGTGTACATTTTTTTTAAAACCAATGTAGACCCTTCTCAGTGCAATTTTTTGAAAGCTATACAAAAACTGTTAATCTATTTTTTTGTTCTTTTAGTATCTTTTGGTGGTTGTAATGAGTAATAATAAAAAAGCCCAGAGATGTGGTCAGAGGGATAAGGAATAAAAACAAAGAATAGTGATAATGCACTGTCTGGCATTAGCTTCTGAATAATTTAGATTTGAGCAAGGGGTTTTTGTCTTTATTTTTTTTCCTTTTGAGTCACTTCTCTTACTTTAATTGTTTTTATTATTATAGAATTATATTTTTTAGCAGCTGATAAATATTATGAATAAGATTACTTTCTGAGAAATACAATTTAGAATGTTCTTACTATAATTTGTTTTATTGCTTTAATAGTTACAATCATGAGCTTTTAACATTAAACTCCTCTCACAATATTAAAATCAGTAAAAGCTATCTCACATTTTATCTTGTAGTTTATGTTTCATTTAAGAAGATCTCCTTTCTTGCAAGTTTTTAACAATAGTCCTGATGAGAGTTCATATTATCGTCACCATTTTATGCGGCAAGATCTGACCCAGTCTCTAATCATGATTCAGCCTATTCTGTATGCATATTCTTTTAGTGGACCTCCAGAGGTAAGATGGCCAAGAAAAAAAATTGTCTGTTACCGCAATCTGTGGCATTAAAAAAGTGAAAGCAGCTAAGGGCCAGGCACAGTGGCTCATAGCTGTAATCCTAGCACTTTGGGAGGCTGAGGTGGGAGGATCGCTTGAGGCCAGGATTTGAGACCAGCCTGAGCAACATAGGGAAACTTCATCTCTACAAAAAATAAAATAGCGTTGGTGGTATAGTGGTGAGCATATCTGCCTTCCAAAAAATAAAGTAATTAGCTGAGTGTGGTGGTACACGCCTTTAGTCCCAGCTACTTGGGAGGCTGAGGCAGGAAAATCGCTTGAGTCCAGGAATTTGAGGTTGCTGTGAGATGTGACAATCTCTGCATTCTAGCCCAGGCAACATAATCTGTCTAAGGAAAAAAAAAGCAATTAAGTTTTTTTTTAAATATAGTCATTAAATATAAGAATTTAATTAAAAGTATTGATGTGTTGTTCACTTAAAATATTTATGAGTGCTTACCATGTGCTTTATGTATCATGGTAGGCTATATTAAGAAATTATTTAAAAATATGTAAAAATGTGACTATTATTTTGTTTAGGCATTTGGTTGATCAAATCCTTTAGGACTTACGATTATTCTTTGTGTCTTTTTTTTTTTAAATTTCAGCATATTATGGGGGTACAAATGTTAAGGTTACGTATATTGCCCATGCCTTTCCCTCGAGTCAGAGCTTCAAGCATGACCATCCCCCAAACGTTGCACATCTCACTCATTATGTTTGTATATATCCATCCCCTCCTCCCCCTTCTTATTCTTTGTGTCTTTAACAATGTCCAGAAGTGGTTATGATTCTGTAGCCTGTAGCTTATTCCAGAGTTTGGTGTATGACAGTTATGACATTCTGTCTAAACAAAGTCTCTTATTTTATTTTATTTCATTTCATTTTTTTTTTTTTTTTTGAGACAGAGTCTCACTGTGTTGCCCGGGCTAGAGTGCCATGGTGTCAGCCTAGCTCACAGCAACCTCAAATTCCTGGGCTCAAGAGAGCCTTCTGTCTCATCCTCCCGAGTAGCTGGGACTACCGTCATGCGCCACTATGCCTGGCTGATTTTTTTCTATATATATTTTTAGCTGGCCAATTAATTTCTATTTTTAGTAGAGTTGGGGTCTTGCTCTTGCCCAGGCTGGTTTTAAACTCCTGACCTTGAGCTATCCTCCTGCCTCGGCCTCCCAAGAGTGCTAGGGTTATAGGCGTGAGCCACTGCACCTGGCCCAATTTTTTATTTAGTTACTATAATTTTTTAAATAATTGGCTAAATATTTCTAGGGGGGGAAATGTGTTTTTTGAGACAGAGTCTTGCTGATAGCTCAGTCTGGTCTCTACCTGGACTCAAGTAATTCTCCTGCCTCAGCCTTTCAAGTAGCTAGGACTATAGGCTTAAGCTACTATGCCTGGCTTTATATGTTGGTCTAGCTATATATTTTGGCTTTGTAGTTCCTTGAATCAGGAAAGTATGTTTTAGAAATAACTTTTTCTTATTTTGGTGCAATACGTGTAAATTGTAGACTTCTGGAAACTGTTAGAATAGTGTTTAGAAGAATATTGGAGTCCCACTATCCCTAGTGCCTGCTCCTGTTATATTTCAACCTTTCCATTTAATCCATGAATCCCATTAGTTTCATTTTCTTAAGGCTTTGGTTTTGGAGTCGTCGTCTTTCTCCTGCATCGTCACTTCCTGTCCATATGGATCATTCCCATTGACACATAAACAGAAGTCATATTAAAAGAGAAAATCAACAAACAAAAAAACCCACTGTGCTCCACATTTTCTCTAATTCTCACCCCATTTCTCTGCTCCTGATAATAGTTAAACTCAAAAAAGTTATTTGTTGTTTATACTTTCTCACCTGACATTCTCTTCTCAACCTGCATTAGTCAGTCATTTGTCCCTAATATTATACTGAAATCACTTCTATCAAGATCACCAATGTACTATATCTTGCCAGAACTCTTAACAACATTTACTTAGTGAGGACTAGGTAAAACCTTTTGAAAACCTTTTACTCTAGGCTTCAGTGACACCTACTACACCTGACTAGTTCCACTTACTCAATGTTCCTTCTCAGTCGTCTTCTGCTTCTTTCTCCCTTTTAGACCTTTAAGTGTCAGCATGCTTTAGGGCTTAATCTTCTGGCCTTCTCTAACTTCTGTCTCTTTAAGAGATGTAATCTAATCCCATAGTTTTAACTACCATCTTTGGGCATGTGACACTAAATTTATTTATGTCATCAGTCCAAGCTACTCTCTTTCATTTCAGATACAGAGCTATGTTCTTGTTGCTCCAAATTTGCCCTGTCCCAAATAAAGCATTTCACTCAGTGGTGCCATTTCCCCATTTTACTCAGAGGCCATCCTTGATTTCCTCTTGACTTTATTTTTAATTGTTTGTTACCTCAGTTTAAAGAGATTCCTTGGAAAATTAAAATACACTGGAAGAATCCATAATAGCAAGAGATTTTAAGTAATAAAATATAAATGTAAAATTTAGAAAATAATCCTAGAAAGATCTATTTTGTATTTTTAAGTAATTTATTTTTCCTTATCTCTCATTGTTTTCTTCATGTTAGCCAGTTCTTCTTGATAGCAGTAGCATTCTTGCAGATCGTATTCTTCTCATGGACACATTCTTCCAGATTTTGATTTATCATGGTGAGGTAAGATTCCATAGCATTTAAAGCTATGCATGTAAACTCTTTTTACTTAGGGAAGTTTTTTTCCCTTTATTATGTGGCTAGTGATTTATCTATAATAAACTTTGATTTCCATTTTTATAAAGAACATATAAAATGTGATTCTTCCTGCTATAGGTTTTTAGGTTTGAATTGTAATTGACCCACCTGTGGTTATTTTGTTCCTTTGTCCACACATGATTGGACAAATGGATTTTGCATAAAGGCAAAGTGTTGTTAAAGTAAAAACATTTACATAACACATAGACATATGACACTTGGGTTTTACCTAAAAACATTGAGAGGGGAAAATCCAGCCTTTGTCAGTGGGTGGCTTTTCATTATTTTATGTAATCATTATAAGAATTTATTTATCAAAGTGTTCCACAGGATCTTAAAAACTCATTTAAAGCATAAGTTAATTAAAATTTATAACTTAAAAGAACAGAATATTTGAGTGGACATTAAGCTTTAATCCAGGTATTTAGCAGAACTGTATTCATTTCTGCATTTATTCATTCAGCCAATATTTAAGTCCTTCCTCTGTGCAAAGCACTATGCTCTGGATGCTTTGGAAGATATAGAGATTATTTTTTTCACAGACCTGCTCTCCAGTTTATAGTCTGGTATTTTAGTAACTTGTGCAGATTTATTTTTCCAGTTGCTTTACTTGTAAATGATTTTAGATTTGCACTGTAAAAGTAAAGGCATTACTCAATGTCTTTTAAAGTAATAACTATCCATAACTTTTTAGAGATTTGATTATTTTTAGTTGATACCAGTTTCTAATGCCCTTTACTTGTTAAGAAAAATACCTATGATACTGACAGAGCTTGATTTTTTTGTTTTTATGGTAATTTTCGCTTTTTCAAATAGCTTGTTAATGTGCTTAAAAGAGAAATTAGAAGTGCAGTGTATACATAGCTGTATATAGAGGTAAATAGATATAAAGAATATACATTGACTGATTCAGCTAACTTAGAAACCAAACCAGGTTTACATTTTTAAATGACTTAATTACTTGTTTTTTAGAGCCATTTACCTTAATAAAAGAATTGATTCAGTTGCTCTTCTACAGGTATATTATCTTTCTAATGTTATTGCTGTTATTATTAAAGTTTTTATGTTTATATGTCTTGCTAGGATATAACTCTGTTGGTACAGACTTCATTATAGTAGGTCATTAATTTTGAAGTCTCTGGGAAATCTTCTGTAACAAAATTCTTTCTCCACACATACCAAAAGCTTAGGTAGATAGCTTTTAGCTAACACCAATTTGATAAGCATAATGTTTAAAAAATTTTCTGCCTTATTTAAGTATTATTTCATTCTACTTTTTAAAGGAGAAGAAATATCCTAATTTTGCATCTATTTACTTAAGAATATTTTCTCTACTGAAATTAGTATTGGTAACTTAAAATATTGAGATAATGGAATGATGTTCTATGATTTTTTTTTTCAGAAAACTACTTTTAAAAAAATCTTGTCTTAAGATTTTTTGATGGGCAAGAAATTTAAAATCATTTCTTTTATTGTTTCAAAAATTAGACCATAGCGCAGTGGCGGAAATCAGGATATCAGGATATGCCAGAATATGAAAATTTCCGCCACCTTCTGCAAGCCCCAGTGGATGATGCACAGGAGATTCTTCACTCCAGATTTCCAATGCCGAGATATATTGACACTGAACATGGGGGCAGCCAGGTAAGTAGTATTAGTTTGTTTGTTGATAGGTTTTACAGTGAGGTATTCCTACTTGCCTTCTGACGTTAATTTAAATATATTGCCTCATAAAGCAAACAGAAAGGGAAGGAGGCAGTGAGGGGAAGGTTGCTTTTTTTTTTTTTTTTGAGACAGAGTCTCACTCTGTTGCTTAGCTAGAGTGCCATGGTGTCAGCCTCACAGCAACCTGAAGCTCTTGGGCTCAAGCCATCCTATGGCCTCAGTTGGGACTACAGGCACATGCCATCATGTCTGGCTGTTTTTTTCTATTTTTTTTTTTTTTGAGACAGAGTCTCATTCTGTTGCCCAGGGTAGAGTGAGTGCCATGGCATCAGCCTAGCTCACAGCAACCTTAAACTCCTGGGCTCAAGCAATCCTTCTTCCTCAGTCTCCTGAGTAGCTGGGACTACAGGCATGCACCACTATGCCCTGCTAATTTTTTCTATATATTTTTTAGTTGGCCAATTAATTTCTTTCTATTTTTAATAGAGACAGGGTCTCGCTCTTGCTCAGGCTGGTTTCAAACTCCTGACCTTGAGCTATCCACCCGCCTCGTCCTACCTGAGTGCTAGGATTACAGGTGTAATCCTGCACTGCACCTGGCTAGTTTTTTTCTATTTTTAGTAGAGACAGGATCTCACTCTTGCTCAGGCTGGTCTTGAACTCTTGACCTTAAGCGATCTTCCTCTGTCTCCCAGAGTCCTACGATTACAGGCATGAGCCACTGCACCTGGCCTTGCTTGCTTTGTGCATTAGCTTTGAGAGCAGAACAATAAGATTATTGACTAGTTGCCCAAAGCTGGAAGTTTCCTTCATCTTCTGCCTCCAGCTCAGCTCTCTTAACAGGGCCAGGGTGGTATTATGGTGGTATGCAACCTGTGGACAGCTTGGAAAATAAGTTTCTGAAAGCTGTTTACTGCTAAAGTCTATGAGTATGAAGTTTGTGATAACTCTTTTATATTTTTCTCCTGTCATTCCAGTTTTCTAAAAAATATTTTTATTATTCTTTTATTTATTTATTTTTAAGAGAGTTTCACTCTGTCACTCAGGCTGTGGTGCAATGGCACTATCATAGCTCACTGTAACCTTGAACTCTTGGGCTCAAGTGATCCTTCTGGCTCAGCTTCCTGTGTAGCTAAGACTACAGGTACTTGCTACCATGCTCAGCTAATTTTTAAATTTTTTGTAGAGATAGGTTTTTACTATGTTGCTCAGGCTGGTCTTGAACTCCTGGGCTCAAATGATCTTCCCTCCTCAGCCTCCCAAAATGATGGGATTACAGGCATAAGTGAGCCACTGCACCCAGCCCCAATTTCCTGAAAATAAATTGTCATGCAATATAAAGCATTGTGGTATTATGAAAATTTTTAGGGTTATGAGGTTAAAATATGAAATGTGTACATACACATGCAGCTACTTTGAGCCTTTCAAAAGGCTAAGTTATGTCCCTTTAATATACACTCATAAGATATTTATTTCTCCCTTGTAATTCTTGTTAGAGTAAAAATACATTAATTATAAGTCTGTTTCACTTGTTCCTTGAAGGCAGGGACCATGCTTTGTATACCCTAGTTCCTAGCACAGTATTACAAAATAGGTAGCAAGTATCAGTAACTATTATTCAGAAATGATAGCAGTTATTAAGGGTTTAATGTATTTATATAGAAGCTGTCATGTATTGAGAATTTGCAGAGTACTTTGTATGCCTTATCTCATTTGATCCTCATAAGAATTCTATTGTCATCTCCATTTTACAGATAATAAAACTGAAACTTGGGTTACTTGTGGCCAGAGAAACATAGTAAATGGAGGAGCTGGGATTTGGATCCTGGTGTTCTGACTCCAGGGCCAAGGCTCTCGACTAGTGTGTTAAACTAATTACTTAGAGAGTAGGACAATATTTGTATAATATTAAATTTCAAAAGATATAACTAACTGCCTGTGTTCTTCCTATATGAATTAAAAATTTGACTAGTTCTCATTGATATTTTCATCTTATGTATTGCCATTTTCGTCTTTTATTCTTATATATCTTATTATATTCTTATATATCTATCATATATCTAATATCTTTTTTTTACTATCTGTCTGTCTGTCTATCTATCTATCTATCTATCTATCTATCTATCTATCTATCTATCTATCTATCTATCTTTCTATCTATCTTACTATATTCTTTTTTTTTTTTTTTTTTTTTGAGACAGAGTCTCACTTTGTTGCCCCGGCTAGAGTGCCATGGCGTCAGCCTAGCTCACAGCAACCTCAAACTCCTGGGCTCAAGCAATCCTCCTGCCTCAGCCTCCCGAGTAGCTGGGACTACAGGCATGTGCCACCATGCCCAGCTAATTTTTTCTCTATATATTTTTAGTCGGCCAATTAATTTCTTTCTATTTTTAGTAGAGATGGATCTCACTCTTGCTCAAGCTGGTCTTGAACTCCTTGAGCTCAAACGATCCACCCGCCTTGGCCTCCCAGAGTGCTAGGATTACAGCCGTGAGCCACTGCGCCCAGCCTATATTATTTTCTTGATGATAAGCCATAGTGGGTGGATAGGTAAAATGTTGGGTAAATTGTCTCAACATTTTAGACCTGCGATCTAAAAAAGTTTGAGAGTCATTGTTTAAAGTAAAAGAATATATAGATTTTCATGGTTTTTATTTTTACTTATATATTTATTTTTCATGGCTTTTATTTTTATCATTATTTAACTTCTGATATTTCAGGTCAAGTAGTATTTTCACACTAACCTTGTATAATTGTTGCACACCTAATTTTTATGGTCTTTGTTATTATGAATATTTGATTTGGAGAGATGAGGGTGCATTTATTATTTATTTATAAAATTTCAAAATTCAGTTAAATAGTTTAAAAGCTCATTTAATAAAAAATTTTATGGCTGGGCTGGGTGGCTCATTCCTGTAATCCTAGCACTCTGGGAGGCTGAGGCGGGTGGATTGCTCGAGGTCAGGAGTTCGAAACCAGCCTGAGCAAGAGCAAGACCCTGTCTCTACTATAAATAGAAATTAATTGGCCAACTAATATATGTAGAAAAAAGCCAGGCATGGTGGTTCATGCCTGTAGTCCCAGCTACTTGGGAGGCTGAGGCAGTAGGATCGCTCGAGCCCAGGAGTTGAGGTTGCTGTGAGCTAGGCTGATGCCACGGCACTCACTCTAGCCTGGGCAACAAAGTGAGACTGTCTCAAAAAAAATTAAATTAAATTAATTTTACCAACACAAATAAAATTTATTTTAGATGGGATAATGTATTTATTGAGCTTATATTGACTAAATCTAGTTTTGAAGGATAATGTTTTTTTCTTTTTTGCTTTTAAGGCCCGTTTCCTGCTTTCAAAAGTCAACCCTTCACAGACTCATAATAATATGTATGCCTGGGGGCAGGTAAGTGTATATAGCAGGTCTTGGAAATTATTTCTTTGTGTATTTATAGTTTGTTATTTTAATGAAAGCTATGTTTTTTTCTATGCATTTAGTAATGATTCTGTTGGAAAAGTAATGAAAAAATAAGAGTAGAAAACAGAATTAATATTTGATGGCACCACAGAAAATAAAAAAGTGATCCTGTCAAATAGACAGAACCCCTTCATTGTCCAAGTTTAGCACCGTATCCTTAAAACAAAAAGCAATAAGGTGTATAAGATAGGAAGTGATGATTCCAGCTTAATGCTAAGCCATGAACCACAAAAGGCCACAAGAAGCCAAGAAAGGCCAGGGATTGTAGTTGAGTGGGAGAGGTGGAAAGCCTGCAAATCATTATTGATATAGTTTAATTTGGTAGATGTCCTATCTCTTGATATATACCATATCAACATTTGTTGAGTGTCCGATATGTACAGGAATCTGTATTGGCACTTCAGGCCACACAGTTGTCATCCCTGCCTTTGAAGAGCTTGTAGTCAAGTATTAGAGATAGGATACATACCTAAGTAAGATACATGGCAGATGTGACTTTAGAAAGATATAAAGTATTACAGGAAGAGGTCATATGGTGGCAGCAGATAGAGGGTGTGTGATCAGAAAAGAGATCAGAAAAAAAAGGACATTTAGTTTAAAAGAATGGTTATTATTTCAGTAGGAGGAAATTGTGTGAGGAAGGGAATTCTAGGTAAAAGATAGTATGGGCCAAGATAAGAGACTACATGTAGAGCTGAATAATAAAACATAAAACTAGAAATGTGTTGTGTGACCAGATTGTAGAGGATCTTGAATGTCAGGCTGAAGACTGAGAAGTTGAGTCTTTATTTTGTAAGTAATTGAGACTCATTGAAGTTTTTTTTTTTTTTTTTTTTAATTTTTTTTTTTTTTTTTGAGACAGAGTCTCACTTTTGTTGTCCAGGCTAGAGTGAGTGCCGTGGCGTCAGCCTAGCTCACAGCAACCTCAAACTCCTGGGCTCAAGCGATCCTTCTGCCTCAGCCTCCCGAGTAGCTGGGATTACAGGCATGTGCCACCATGCCGGCTAATTTTTTTTTTTTTTTATATATATATCAGTTGGCCAATTAATTTCTTTCTGTATTCTAAAAAAAAAAAAAAATGGTTGGGTAAATTGTCTCAACATTTTAGACCTGCGATCTAAAAAGTTTGAGAGTCATTGTTTAAAGTAAAAGAATATATATTTTCATGGTTTATTTTACTTATATATTTATTTTTCATGGCTTTTATTTTTATCATTATTTAACTTCTGATATTTCAGGTCAAGTAGTATTTTCACACTAACCTTGTATAATTGTTGCACACCTAATTTTTATGGTCTTTGTTATTATGAATATTTGATTTGGAGAGATGAGGGTGCATTTATTATTTATTTATAAAATTTCAAAATTCAGTTAAATAGTTTAAAAAGCTCATTTAATAAAATTAATTTTATGGCTGGGCGGGGTGGCTCATTCCTGTAATCCTAGCACTCTGGGAGGCTGAGGCGGGTGGATTGCTCGAGGTCAGGAGTTCGAAACCAGCCTGAGCAAGAGCAAGACCCTGTCTCTACTATAAATAGAAATTAATTGGCCAACTAATATATGTAGAAAAAATGAGCCAGGCATGGTGGTTCATGCCTGTAGTCCCAGCTACTTGGGAGGCTGAGGCAGTAGGATCGCTCGAGCCCAGGAGTTGAGGTTGCTGTGAGCTAGGCTGATGCCACGGCACTCACTCTAGCCTGGGAAACAAGTGAGACTGTCTCAAAAAAATTAAATTAAATTAATTTTACCAACACAAATAAAATTTATTTTAGATGGGATAATGTATTTATTGAGCTTATATTGACTAAATCTAGTTTTGAAGGATAATGTTTTTTTCTTTTTTGCTTTTAAGGCCCGTTTCCTGCTTTCAAAAGTCAACCCTTCACAGACTCATAATAATATGTATGCCTGGGGGCAGGTAAGTGTATATAGCAGGTCTTGGAAATTATTTCTTTGTGTATTTATAGTTTGTTATTTTAATGAAAGCTGTGTTTTTTCTATGCATTTAGTAATGATTCTGTTGGAAAAGTAATGAAAAAATAAGAGTAGAAAACAGAATTATATTTTGATGGCACCACAGAAATAAAAAAGTGATCCTGTCAAATAGACAGAACCCTTCATTGTCCAAGTTTAGCACCGTATCCTTAAAACAAAAAGCAATAAGGTGTATAAGATAGGAAGTGATGATTCCAGCTTAATGCTAAGCCATGAACCACAAAAGGCCACAAGAAGCCAAGAAAGGCAGGGATTGTAGTTGAGTGGGAGAGGTGGAAAGCCTGCAAATCATTATTGATATAGTTTAATTTGGTAGATGTCCTATCTCTTGATATATACCATATCAACATTTGTTGAGTGTCCGATATGTACAGGAATCTGTATTGGCACTTCAGGCCACACAGTTGTCATCCCTGCCTTTGAAGAGCTTGTAGTCAAGTATTAGAGATAGGATACATACCTAAGTAAGATACATGGCAGATGTGACTTTAGAAAGATATAAAGTATTACAGGAAGAGGTCATATGGTGGCAGCAGATAGAGGGTGTGTGATCAGAAAAGAGATCAGAAAAAAAAGGACATTTAGTTTAAAAGAATGGTTATTATTTCAGTAGGAGGAAATTGTGTGAGGAAGGGAATTCTAGGTAAAAGATAGTATGGGCCAAGATAGAGACTACATGTAGAGCTGAATAATAAAACATAAAACTAGAAATGTGTTG